ATAAATAATTTAGAAAATTAATTAACCAAATTAATATATTTAAATGGTAATCATATTTATCAATTATATCTTTTAGTCATGTGAGATTTTTGAATCTCTGTAGACTTATAAGATAATCGTATTATCGTATGAGTCAATAAGACTCTGCAAATATAACGATTAAGTTTTTTAAAATATGTATAAATTATATATTAATATAATCACATTAAAAATGTATTTAAATTTAATTCCTTTATCGTGTGAGATTTTAGAATCTCTGCAGATGTTTAGGATAATCATATTACCGTATAAGCCAATAAGGTTATGCAGGTATGATGATTAAAATTCTTTAAAACATGTATATACACACTTAAAATATATTTTTAACACTTAAAATATACATAAGAATAAATAAATAAATTAAATTGCCAAACTCTTCTATCATATGGGATTTCGGAATCTCCGCAGATATTTAGAGCAATTGCATTACTGTATGAATCAATAAGGTTCTGCAGGTACTATAATTAAATTCCCAATCAAAATATAAAAAAAAAATTTAAACCATTTTCTTTTCTTTAACTCAAAATTCAAAATTGAGAAAATAATTAAAATTAAATTACTTTTTGCAATTTAAAACACACATATCAAATTTTCAGAAATTGTTTTATTTGAAAAATAGTGAATTATTTTAAATTAATTTCTCTTCAAAAAATATTTTCACCAACAAACTTTTGAGCTCGAACTACATAGACTTTGATCCCCATCACAAGGTACGTAGGCCTCAGAGTCAGATTTTGAGTCAAGTCCGTCCTCCCTCGTAAATAAATAAATATTTCTTATCTAATTCTTATCATTTTTATCAAACACATGAATATAAAAGGGATAATTAAAATAATTAAAAAAAACTATATTAATGGAGCACAGCAAACTTCAGGTAACCGTTCTGCTGAACGAGTGTTGTGGGGTGCCTAACACCTTCCCCACACTCAACGACTCCCGAACCTATTTTTTAATTTCGCAGATCACCCTTATCTTCCTTTTAATTGGTTTCCCGAGATTTACCTCAAAATCTTGGTGGTGACTCCTCATTCGATTCGGTTCCCGCCGCGAAGGCCGGGACCTCCGCTTGCGTGCCGTCTGCGTCGTATTTTTTTGGGTGCGACAAAGATATTTCAAGTGTTCCTCTTTAGACTTACTAAAGACTAGTATGTCATCAAAGTATACCACTAAGAATTTTTTCAAGTATGAGCGAAGGAGGTAAGTCATTACTCTCATGAATATGCTTGGGGCATTTGATAACCCGAATGGCATGACAAGCCATTTAAACAACTCATCTTGCATTTTAAAAGTAGCCTTTCACTTATCTCCAAGTCTAATCCTGATCTGATGATAACTACTCTAAAGGTCAATCTTTGAGAACCAATTAAATCTGGATACCAAATCAAGCATGTCATCAAGTCTAGAAATAAGAAACCTATACTTTATGGTAATTTTGTTGATGGCTCTACTGTCTACACACATTCTCCAAGAGCCGTCTTTCTTAAGAGTCAAAAGAGCAAGTACTGCATAAGGACTCATGCTATGTTGGATATAACCTTTCTCCAGTAGTCCATTAACTTGTCGATTAAGCTCTTCCCTATCTTTTGGATTCATCTGGTGGTGTGGTAGGTTAGGGAGTTGTGAACCTGGAGTAAAATCAATTGCATGTTAGATATCCCTCATTGGTGGTAGCTCAAATGGAAGCTCATCTAGGGCGATGTCTAGAAATTTGTTTAAGAGCTATTGCACTTCCCTAGGCATTTTCGTAGTTATAACCGAAGCAATTCACTGCGAGATCTTAGACACTAGAACAAACACAAGTATACTATCTTTGCTTTCTCGCACAAACTATTTCTCTGTCAGAAGGTGCAAACTTTAGCTTTTGGGCTTCATACCTTTTAAATTACTTAAATGTCTAACATCAGTGTTAGGCTTAGTAAGGCGTGGTAGGATTGTCTTGCCATTATGCTTAAATGTATATGTATTCTCCCGACCATGGTTGATGACATTGTGATCATAAAGCCATAATCGACCTAGCAGAATGTGAACAATATCTATCAGGAGAACATCATAAAGAACCTTTTCTTTATAGTCACCTAGTTGTAGAGGAATGCGACATTGTTGAGTGACTAGTAAAGAATTTTTGTGAACCCATACACTCAAAAAGGCTTTAGGTGAGGTTCTGTCTTGAGATATAACTTGACTACTCTTTGACTAGAAATCACATTTCTAGAACTCCAATTATCAATCACTAACTTACAAGATTTGCCCCCACACATCACAAAGGTATGGAAGATACTAGTTTATTTCCATGAATCATTAGGTAGAAGGACTAAAAAATGCATTGCATAACTCCAACTTAATGTGTCACACACCCATGTTCATCAATGATGATGTCCTCATCAACATCTGAAGGATACTCAACTAGTTCCATAACTATATTGGTATTGACATCATTCTCCTCTTCCTCAAAAGGCGAGTCAATAGCTAAAGCTTGTTGTGGGCACTTTAAAGTAATGTGACCCTTTGAGTGACAACAAAAACACTCAACAACAGAGTTACTAGGGCGGGAAGCCTCAATAGACTTAGAGGTATTACTCTTGAACCCAGTTTCATTAGGCTTAGACATAGGTGCTCTGAAAGGTCAATCCATCAGGTTTAAACTTCATGTCTATCGAAATTGATTGCTTTGTAAATTGGTATGCCTAATAGAAGTGTACTGTAACAGAGACTCTACTTCCAAGGTCTTATGGTATGCTTCCTCAAGAGACTTAGGGAAGTTCAACTTGAGCAACAAGATATATACTCGGACCTAATGATCGCGTGCCATTCTTCTTCATCCATGTCACTTCTAATCATAAGGTTATCGAAACAAGATATATACTCGGAAGCAGTGGAAACTTGCTTCAGGTTGAGGTACTTGTCATACAACTGACTCTTGTAATGAATTGACACATATTTCTCTTTCAACTTTGCCTTCATTTCATCCCACACCTCAATCAGAGGATATTCCTGTCACTCATTGTTCTTTTGAACATTTTGCTAGTATTTTCTCACGAAACCCACAAGCTTTATCTTTGTAAATCAAACTCATTGGGTATCGCTCATGTCATATCATTTAAAGTAGTCTTCCATGCTAGCTAACCAATCTAAAAAAGTACTAGCATTTAATCTTCCATCAAATTTAGGGCCTCAACCTTAACCTTTTCAGCAATGTCTTCAGTATGCACCCTTCTAAAGTTTTCTCTACCGTTTTGCTCGATTGGTTGAAGTGATCCGTGATGTTATTCTTTGTGGTCACAACTATCCCAAGTATCATCTAAATCTTCTAATTGATGATTGATAGTTCATGAAGAGAGGGTCTACCATGTCTTTCACTTATAGTTCTAGAAGAATGACCAACCCTATAAGGAGTTCCCCTAGGTTGATTTAAGACAAGGGATCTCTCATTCCTAAAATTGGATTCTCATATGAATATTGGTCTTTCTAATAGCCCTTCAGTTACCTTTCCTGTATCCTATCCTTGTTGCAACTGAATAGCACCCATGATCTCTTCAAATTTCCTATTCATGATTCCTTGAGTTTATCAAATTGTCGGTCCACATATGCCTTTTGAGCCCTCTCAGATTCCTTAAGGTGATTCTGGGTGATTTGGAAGTTATTGGCCATGGTAGATTTAAAGGTAGTAATTTCTTAGTCTAGTAAGGCTTGGTTGTCATATAAATTATGAATGGTCATACAATGACAAGGGCAATATTTTAAAGTGTAGGGTTTAGGGTGGTTCTAGAAACATTAAAAAAAAGGTTCTCAAGTTGCCCTCACCTAAAAAGGTGAAGTCCCTTTCTAACAAAACTAATCCTCCAGAAATTCAAAATTCCTTAAGGATTGTATGTTAAAGAGGTAACAACCTGAGTGAAGTGTTCACAATAACCTCCGAAAGTCTATGACCTTATAGGGAAACCATTAAATTTCAACTAACCTAGGCTAATTTCTTTGACCCAGGTATAGGGCTAAATTGTGTGTGAGGTAAGTGTGTTCTAGGTTGGGAATAGTGCTGTCAAGAGGTACAAATTAACAATAATAATGATCAATATTTTTTTAAAAAATATTAAACTAAACACACTTTAAAAATTAAATTGCATGCTCAAAAGGATCAAACAAAAGATTTCAAACCAAGCATAAAAGGAAGAACCACCTCCTCCCAAAAAATCATATAAGTCAGATAAATGAGATGTCAATGGCCTTGCCAACAAGGCTTTAAAAGCCCAAAAGTTGAACTTTTACCCCAAATAATTCTTTGAAAGATGATTTAGGATCCTTAAGCTTGCTCAAAACTGTAGAAAACTCCTTGAAAGCATGCAAAACGTAACAAAATTTAGATTCTAGGCATTGTGTACATTGGCGCGTGTGGTGCGTGATGACCACACACAGATCACTCCACCGACACATGGAGGTGAGTGTGACGGAGGACGGAGGTGAAATTTCTAGTTTTGACCGGATTCCTCCCCTTGAACACGATGGCAGTGGTGTTTTAGCAATCTGACGCTAGGAAGCGGGCGTTTCTGGGAAAGTAGCATAAAATAAGGTTTGTGAGTTTTTCAAGCGAGTTTTTTGTATTTTCAAGTGACGGAAATGACCAAGGAACGTAGGAACACAAGCTCTGATACCAAACTGATGTAACACACACACACACACACTCACATAGATCTGAATAGAGGGAGAGAGTAGAGAGAAACCAAAAATAAGGAGGGAGAAATGAAGAACAAAACAATGGAGGGCAAGAGAGAGAGAGACACAATGCATAAAGAGAGGGGGAGAGCTTCTAAAACTTAATCTCAATATTTCATTCATCAAGTGTGTCCATTACAAGTGCAATCAAATTTATTTAACAAAACTCTAATGCCTAAATAAGGAAACCTTAATCACATCTACATATAAAGCTAACTTTCATATTTCCTCTTAAAAAAAAAAACACAAAAGGAAACGTTAACACCTTTTCCATATAAAGTTAGGCTTTAGATTTCCCTTCTTACAAATATTAAAATAACATAAAGAGAATTTATTTTTTTCTAGAATAATGTCTCCCATATTTTCTATGGGTCTTTACATTTTTTTTTTTTGACTTGACATAGACTCTTTACTATACCGTAGGCATGTATATTGATTTGAATCACATACCAATATGCAAATATCAATATTTATTTAGATTAGAATAAATCATATAAAAGTGGCAATGTGTTTCGCGTATCCTGCCAGTGCTTATGATGATTAAGCACTTTTGTGCAGTGCTACTAAGGAAGCATAGGCTTCTCCCTTTCTGAGCAAAGTCTTGTGGTTTCCCTTTTCTGCAATGACTCCATTTTGAACCACAGCAATCAAATCTGCATTCTTAACTGTGGATAACCTATGGGCCACAACAATTGTGGTTCTATCCACTATAACACGATCCAGTGCATCTTGAACAACTTTTTCAGATTCAGCATCAAGAGCACTGGTGGCTTCATCTAGCAGTAATATTTTTGGATTCTTCACTATGGCTCTTGCAATTGCCACTCGTTGCTTTTGCCCTCCAGATAATTGAACTCCACGCTCGCCCACAATTGTGTCATACCCCTACATATGTGCAATTAGCTAGTCATTCAGAATTGTACATTAGGTCTTTAGACAGATTTAGCTCTTTGAATTTTGGGTTTTACCTGATACAAGCTGCTAATGAACTTATGCGCATTTGCCAGTTCTGCAGCAGCTATAATTTCGACTTCTGTTGCATATCCTTCCTTTCCAAATGCAATATTAGCTCGAATGGTGTCATTGAACAACATGGGCTCCTGGCTTACTAAACCCATTTGTTGCCTTAACCACTTGATTTGTAGCTTTTGGATTTCAATTCCGTCCAATGTAATGTGACCTGAGTTTGGGTCATAAAATCTTTGTAGCAATGAGATCACAGTAGACTTTCCACTTCCACTTTCTCCTACTAGTGCAACGGTCTGATTTTTTATCAGCATGACAGAATTGTTAGATGATTACAAATGGCTAATCGTTTTGTTATCAGATGACTTGTGCTTCAGATTAACGTCTAAATTGGTGAATTACCTTTCCTGGGTGAATGGTCAAGCAAAGATCTCTAAATATTTGAACATCAGGCCTGATGGGATACTTGAAAGCAACATGACGAAACTCAACTTCGCCCTTCAAATCTTGCAATGTCAATCCTGAGACATCACTGGGGTCTATTTTTGACTTCTGATCAAGAATATCAAATATAGAAGCAACAGAAGTTGTTGCTCTGCTTGCGCTTGGGGCCATTAAACCGGATTGAGAGAGTGCTACAGCTGCCATAGTGAGAACAAAGAAGACCTAAAAATTTGCAAACCACATTATCAATGTTAATTAGATGTAATTCAGAATTTAGCGCTGAAAAGAACTTCTCTTCTGTAACCACTACTTTGTCAAAAGTAACTAAGAAGTAAAAAAAAGAACAATATATCTAGAATGATGGTGAACAAAGTAGTAATAGACAGTAACTTACACGAAAAACATGTGAGATTGATATTTTGCCATCTTGAACAAGTCGAGCACCAGCATAAAAACTACATCCATAGACAGAATACAAGACAAGGAACGATACGCCTAAACCAGTTCCGCTGATCAATGCTTGCCTTATACCTGCCTTTATTGGTCCTTCACATTTCTTATGGTATAAGTCCATCACCTTCTCTTCAGCACAGAAAGCTGCCACTGTTCTGATACTCCCTACTGCATCATTTGCAACTTGACTTGCTTCCTCATATTGTTTCTGTTGGAAATTTCAATTGTAACATTATTGGTCATCTAAATATTAGCATCAGCACAGTATAACTTAGATAGAGATCTATATGTTTAGCCATTGATCGATGCTTGTGAAGTTTTTTCCCCCCTATTTCATTATGATAATGTTGTGACAGTTGGAGACAAACCTTTGCATCTGAGCTGAATCCTCGGATGGATTTAGTATGCACCTGAGAATTTACTACTACCAATAAAGGTAGCATAGCAAGAATGATCAATGAAAGATGCCAGCTTGCCTCAAAGCCAATCACTAAGGCAGAGATTGCAGTAGAAATATCTTGAATCAGCAAACCCAGTGCATCCCCAACCACAGCTCGAATAGCAGCAGAATCAGTAGCGAGTCTTGCTCCAAGTGCTCCGCTTGAATTCTCAGCTTTGTCAAACCAACCTATTTCCATGTGAATTATTTTCTCGAAACACAGTTGACGAATCCTTTTTATCAATTTACAACCAGCTACGCCAAAGAAGTAGGACCGTATGGAATTCACTAAGAACGCTGCCACAGCAAGTGCAACATACACATATGCCCAGAATTTTGAATCTTTACGTAGTTTATCTGCAGGCTCAAAGAAAGTATGTATCATGCCAGAAAGCAGGAGCCCCAAAATTGGTAATACTGCTCCATTTAGTGTTGCGGCCAAAGCACCCAAAAGTAACACTGGGTATTCAGGCTTGTTAAGATGAGCAAGGCGGAGAAGAGAGACTTTGGCGGGGTTATGTGATGCATCAGAATCTCCTGCTGCTGCAGAAGTGAGACTTGAGAAAGAGTGACGGCCGCTGTTTCCTTTTCCAGATGATCCTTGGCTTGTTGATCGGAGGAAAGAAAATCGTTGACTTGATTGTCGTTCAGAGTCCTGAAAGCTTTCAGGCTTATCCTTGTAATTTGCACTAATTTGTTCTTGTTCTCTTTTAGTTTCTTGCAATCGAATGAGCTGGCTATAGGCTCCATCTGGATCCCTTATGAGCTCTGCATGTGAGCCTAACCGATTGAAAGAGATAAAAATGAAGTGAGTCATAAACATCGAACAAAAGTCAAATAAATTGCCATGGTGTAGTTCATTTGATACAAAATAATGGACATACCTTTTTCTACTATCTTTCCTTGATGGATAACGGCGATTATATCTGCGTTCCTTATAGTACTTAACCGATGGGCTACAATCACCGTAGTCCTGCTTATCATAATTCTGTCCAATGCCTCCTGTACTACTCGCTCAGATTCTGCATCCAAGGCACTGGTAGCTTCATCAAGAATTAAAATTTTTGGGTCTTTCAAGATTGCTCTGGCGATTGCAATTCTCTGCTTTTGACCCCCCGAGAGCTGAGTTCCATGCTCGCCTACCATTGTGTCTAGTCCCTATCCCATAAGTTACCAAAACTAAAATTAAAGGATCATGGCATGTATTTAACGACTTTTCTCTGGTCTTGCAGAGTATGCAACAGGATATAATTTCATCAAATCAAATAATCCAATTTTCGGGGTTCACCTGAGGAAATTTATCAACAAATTTAGCAGCATTAGCAAGAACTGCTGCAGCTTTGATTTCTTCATCGGTTGCACCATCTCTGCCATAAGCAATATTCTCTTTAATGCTACAGGTAAAGAGAATCGGTTCCTGGCTGACAAGGCCTATTTTCTGTCTAATCCATTTTAGATTGAACTCTTTGATGTTGATATTGTCAATGAGAACTTCACCGGCTTGTGGATCATAAAACCTCTCTATCAAATTGATAACGGTTGACTTCCCACTCCCACTTTGCCCAACCAGAGCAGTGGTAGTGCCACTTGGTATTGACAGAGAAAATCCATTGAATATTAGTTCATTTGGTCTTGTAGGATAACTAAAGCAAACCCCCTTTAGTTCTATATCTCCGTGAAGGTCTTCTAACTTTTGACCAGAAGTGTCATAAGCATCAATTTCTGGTTTCCTCTTGATTGTTTCAAACATTTTAACAGCTGCGGCTTGTCCCGCAGCAAATGCAATCAAACTGGGAGATGACTGCCCAAGTGACCTGGTAATTGTGACAAATAGGAGGGGATTATGATGTTATCTCTATTTTACACACACACACACACCCACACACACTAAATAGCAGAAGCTAACTCACAGGGTGCAAGTAGATATTGCAAAAAAGATACTCATGACTTGTCCTCCTGTATATCCTTTCTCTAGTACCATCTTCCCTCCATACCATGCGGCCAAAGCATAACTGGAGAACAAAAACAAACGAGCCGAACCTAAGCCGCAACCAGAAGCTGCTCCCTCTACCACACCAGCACGGTAAGCTCTTGTCAAAGATTTATTGTATTGGGTTATGGCTTGCTTCTCCCCCGTGAATGATGCAACCTGTGGAGATTAGCCAATACCATTTTTATGTCAAAGGCAGTTTCCATCTAAAAGTTTAAATGTCTGAGTAAAGACTGACGAAAAATTTTATTGATACATGTTTAAAAATCATGTTATTTTGTGAGAGAATGAAATGTTGAAGAGTTCATCCTTCATCTAGGCTTACAGTTCGAATGGAACTGATTGTCTGGTCCACCACATTTGCTGCCGTAGAATAGGCTGCTTGTCCACGAGATGCCATCTTTGCAGCGACGAAACTCATCAAGGCACCAGAGAGGACAAGAAGTGGAAGAAAAGATAACAAGACGAGGGTTAGAAGCCAACCCTTAGAGAATGATATCACAACACCTCCCAAGAATGTTGCCACATGTTGTATGAACTTTCCTACCTGATATCACTCAAAAAGGTATTAGGACAAGTCGGAAAACACGGTTCTTCAGTAAATGGCAAAGAAAATCAAAAGGCGAAGAACAGTACTTTCTCTCCCATGGCATCTTGAATGAGAACAGTGTCACCTGACATCCTTGTAATAACCTCTCCACCATTGGTTTCCCTATCAAAGAAGCTTACTTCTTGTCTCAAAATTGCTTCAAGGTATAAGCTTCTTATCCTCGCAGACTGTCTCTCTCCAGTGACCATCCAGCAAGTCACCTCTGTGAAATAGCATGCATGCATGTATAGTTTTTTTTTTTTTTTTAAGATTTATGTCAAACCAAATTATGGTGCAAGTCAGAAGATTTGATATGCTTACGCAAAAATGAAACTACAAAGGTACCCATAGCCAAGTATACGAAGTCAATAGACGCCTGAAAATAAAAGCAATCATTATGAAATCCAAATTGGAAATCGTAAAATGAAGTGGTGCTAGTCATTAATTATGGCATTACCTTGGAAACATTATGAACGATTTCTTTGGTGTCACTGGTTCCTCCAAATGCATCAATGACATTTCCAAAAATTATCATCAGCAAAGGTATAGTCATTCCATTGGCAATGGCCGCTGTTGTCCCAACAAACATGAGAAGACGATCCAAACTATCTGCATATGAGAAAAGCTTGTAGAAAGGAACTGTTCTATAGCTTTTTTCTTTGGCCTTGCTCTTAAAATGTTGTTGCTGCCAGTCTGTGTTTGTTTGGACAACTTCAAGTCCTTCAGTTGGTGGATGATTTGCTGATCCTGTCGCATCATCAGATGTCATAATTTCCCCATCCAAGCTTGTGTCTCTCGCCATTTCCCTCCAATGAGATCTTTGTTGCTTACCAATTACAACCGATAACATGTTATGTTTCAAAATTTGAGTCAACATCTCATAAGAACTAGTTTGTTTTATAGTTGTAAGAGCAGATAATGAATTTTCCAATTTTCTTTATTCCCATGCAGTTAATTTGTTGAGAAGGAAATGGGGTTCAGAAGTTTAAAAGCTTTTACTTTTTGTCCAACAATGTTAGTCCCAAGTAATTAGGAATGAAAGCCAATTCATTTTCTGTTCAAATTGCATCTAAAATGGTCTGGGAACTCAATGAAAATCTAAGCAAGTAGAAGCAATATGTGAGTTAGTTTTCCAATAATATTTTCAAGGAAAAAAATTTCAAAATATCTTCATTAAATAAAGTAGAAATGAATATACTAGCCAAGTACAGCACAAGATGCCAATTTCCTTGAACAAGTCTTGCTTGTTTGAGAACTTTCACTCAACAGGGCATTTTAAATTAGAGTAACGTTGCACCAAAACAAATTAGAGAGTTACGTACAGTTCCTTATAAAAATAATAGCCACCCAGAGGCTCCAGTCAGCAGTCACTTTGTAAATGCATAAACTTGACCGCTAAATATTATAGTTTTATTAGAGACCTGTTTATAATTTTTCCTTTAAATTATGTATTATTGTAAGCCCAAATTTCATCTTAGTGGAAATGCTTGGCCCAATATTACACAATATCAAAGAAGCAAATGAGGCCCAATGAAGTAGAAGCCCAAAACCCAAAAAAATAGGTGACACACAGGAGATGGCCATCAAAGGACGGAATCACATAAGCATAATTCGATGTTTGTAAATACGATTTTAGCCTAAAAATATATCTTAGCTATAATGAATTCTATAACTCAATTTACCTAAATTTTTTTGTAAAAAAAAAAACATGATTCAAAATTTCAAACTCCTAAAATCACAAAAGAGCAATAATATTCTAGTAAAAAACAAAAGAGCAAAAATATTAGGGTCATAAAATTACACGAACTTATGAGAATGGGATTGGGTTTGCAATGCAAAGGGCAACTCAAACCGCTGGTTGACCAAAATTTTTTTTAATCCGGTTTTTTGTATTTTTTTCCACGCTCCTCAAATACCAAGGAATAGCAGGGGGCCTTCATTTCAGATGCCAAAATGCATCTTCTTCTTCCTTATGCTTAAGCTCCAACAATCACTGAATCCGCCATGGTTGAGCTATTCAAGCTCAAAACACGTGATTTTAAACCTTTCCGCCTCCATAAAATCAACCCCAGACTCTCCCAATACCATTAACACAAAACGATGGGAACAAACCAAGTCGAAAACTGCATGACCTGATCACTCAAAAAAAAGAAAAAAGAAGTGCGAGAACCGAAGCTTGAAATCGCTCTCGAAAATCTGAGATTCGATTTGTGAAGCCCACGGGTTTTCTAATGGATTGAGCACAAGGAAAACGCTCCAGAAGAAGTCGTTTTCAGATATATTGGCAAGAGCCGGATGACGAAACGATGCAGTTTCTATTGAGGAAAAAAAAATAGCTGATACATGTCCGATTTTCTCGATTCCCATGCAGTTAATTTGTTGGGAAGAAAATGGGGCACAAGAGTTTGACCAACACAGTGAGCCCTGCGTAAGTGGCAATGAAAAGTTGAAAACCAGTAATTTTCTATGCAAGCTGCAGCTAAATATATCGGTCCTAAAACTCTATGAAAATCTGAGTCAAGAAGCAGCAATGCGAGTAAGTCACCCCGCATGTAAGTTCTTGATATGTCCGTAGTTGCAGACACAGAGAGGATACGCGCCTTAAATCAGATTCAAGTATAGTGCAAAAGGAAGAAATAGTTACCAGTTAAAGCAGAAGAATAGAAAGCTATAAAATGAACGAGAGATGCACCTTGAAAACCAACAATACTTAGATTTAGAAATACAAACAGCGACGGTGGCGTGCCATGTTGTTGTTAGGTATTATATATATATACATGATGAAGTGAGTATGAGAAAAGGCAGGAACGGACCTTAAGGAAACTTGAAGGAGGAGCTTGGGATATATTTATTTATATGTAATTATATGTGAAAAGAGAGAGGAGATCAGGTGGGAAGCCAATGGGGAATAGCCCAGTAGGGCAAGTTAGCTTGGGGGTTTCCTTTTAATCATGACACACCAAAGTTAAAGAAGAAGATGCTCAATCCAAGTTGAGTTTAGCACAAAGAAATGGCTTCCCACAATGCAATGAACTAAAATTTGAATTTCCACCAAGAACATAACATGATTGTTTTTAATATGAAGATAGATGTAGGCAATTTTTTTTTAAAAAAAAGGTGCTCATCATTATCTCCACAAATAATTTATGAATGGTTTTGAATATAAATGCTCCTTAGTTATTACATCAGCAGTGTTGCCATCAGATGCCCTTTGACTCTATATTCTTTACATGCATAAACAAGCCTGGGGCGTTTTTTCACTTCCCCATATTAGTCAGATAGTGATATCGTGGAGCTGGTGTTACATGGCATCACCGTCATTGGAATTGGATCAAACTGGTTAAGAACGGATCTGAACAGATGATGAATTGGTGTCAAAATTGCTCAAATCTATCTATAAAGTATAAATCCAATAAACATAGGAGATAATACAGTACGTGCACCGGATAAAAATACATTGAATATAAACAAAAAATACAAACAGCAAATAACTCTCATAAATATTTTTTAATTGCCTTTTGTTATTAAAATGGACGCGAATTAAGTAAGAAAAATAAATTATGTTAATAAATTAAAACAATATTCCATTCCATTAAAGAGATGAAAAGGAGAAAATTAGTAGAAAGAAATAAACCTTTTGCGTATCAAAAAAAATCCACAAATGATGTCCTTCTTTGGTGTCATTTTAACTGATGATGGAAAGAATCTAATATTAGGTGTATTTTAGGTTCTGATGAAGAAAACTTTAGTTAGATACTCCAAGATTAATGCATTTTTTATAAAGAATAATATATGTATGTATGTATGTATGTATGTATGTATATGTATATATTACAGAAACAAACAGCCAGTCGTCATTCAAAAATAATATAAAGCATTAGGTAATACTATTACATAAGCAATTAATGACATTAATATATGGATTAATATGTCATCAACTCTTCACACATTTGAAAAAAATATGTCGGCAAATTATTTGTTTTATGACAATATTTTTTGAACTTTCTCTTTGGGCAGGGAGTTTATATTTTCAACGGTATATTAATATCATTTTTAAGAACCACTAGAACAAAAACAAAATATAAAAACAATTTTCAATATATATAAAGATGTTTACGGATTTATGTAAATCTGAATCTTAATTAGAAATAAGACTAAAGTGTCTGTGTCTGGTTTGTTAAGATACAGCTATTTTATATTTTTTTTATAAAAAATTTGACGTCTTCCTAGTTCCTACCCTTAATTACTGTACAATTGTTCCCATTATATATTTTTTAAGTAAAGGTTGATAAACGAATGGGATTTAAAATGAAAAATGGGATAGGTTCTTTCTTTCATTTTTGTTTTGTTTTCTTTTTTTTTTTTTTGTGTGTGTCGGAGCAAAAGAATCCAAATTAATGGTTGGCAAAACAAAAAAAATTAAAAAATGGAGGATTATTGCAATGATTAAGTATAGTATTAGAAATAGAAATATGATTTTGGAGTGGTCCCGAGGATTGCAACCCGGTCTTGATGCGATTCATTGGGCTCAAGGAACCTGGGGGACCACTCTACGTTTGCTAATTGCCTCTTCTTCGACGGTGCCGACGCCCCTCTCTCTCTCTCTCTCTCTCTCTCTCTCTCTCTCCGCGTAATTTGATATCATCTGCGGGGCACGATTCGGTCGTTATTTTAAACCGTACGGATTTCATTTTTTAATTAAAATATTATGCATTCCAGGAACTCCTGGATCAAAATCACATGAATAGTGAGCCGTAATTTTTTGTTTTGAAGAATTACACCCACCTCTTAGATTTACCATTAAAGAGTTACATAAATTTTATTAAATATTTTTAATTTTTAAATCTTGCACCATTATAACTTAGTAAAAAAATATTAATTTATAAGAGTAAGTTATAAATATTGATTGGTTAATTATAAATGTTCTTTACCGAATGCATAATATTTAAAAATTAAAAGTATTTTATAAATTGATGAATTCTATTTTGTGAGATCTAGGTGTAACTTTTCCTAATTTTTTTTTAAAAGAAAGAAATATGCTAAAATGTTTGTAATTTAACTTCTTGTATAGTATAATTTTAATAAGTTATGTGCAACTTCCTTTATATATATATATATATTTTTTTTTTTTGCACAAAAGAGAACCATTTTATTGATTAAAAAAAAATACACACACTAATCGGAAAAGCAAAACAAAGCACCAAGAAGTACAATAACAAAAACCCGAAAAAAAAAAACAATAAAAGGTACAACCTAAGAAAGCAAGAAAAAGCCTAACAAATAACAATACAACCTCCAGAAAGCAATAAAGGAATACAAAGAAGAAAATGCAAAATCAAGCTAAGCCTTCAACCAATACCAACACGATTCTGCAAGCCACTCATTACACTACCAATAACTTCCTTCTTATATTTGAAACGTATTTCAACTTTTTGAACGTTTATACTACAGTTAACAAAATATTACATCCTTCTTTGAAGGATAAAATCAGTCACGTTGTAAATTTTAAGATAATATAAATTTTATTGAGTATAATCAGAGATGCCACAAAAAATACAATATAATCTCATAATTAGGTGAGAAATTTATTTCACAAATGTCAATAAAAATAAATGATGTGTATTTTTAAGAAGATAAATACTCCTTCCAGTCCTATTTATTACTATTTATTATAGGATACCTTCTAGAAGTAATTTTTACTTTAAAATATAGCAGACTTTTCAATAATTAAATTGTTTTTTCTAATTTTACCCTCTCTTGATTAGCGTAAAGGTATTTAATATAATTATATCATTATTTAAAAATAAGGATAAAAATAAAAGTACATATATTTTTTGATGATATTAAGAGAAAAAAATAACTTTTTTAATATGAGTGAAACGATTGAAAGTATCTTATAATAAAAATTAGAGGAAGTATTATTTAAAATTTGAGAGAAGAATCATGAAACTTTTTTACTGGCAAAAAAAAATTCAAATAAAGCTACTATGATTAAATTTAATGAACTCGATGGATCTTAAACATTAGGCTGTGCAGTGTTCGTTCAAAAAAGCTCGTCCATGGTGGAACACAATACATAAATTTTTTTTTTTTTACTAAACTCTGAAAACTTCATTCCAACAGAGCAAAAGATACACACACAAGAAATCCTAGAACATTACAGCAAGGAAAAACTGAAACCTAAGCAAACTAAAATACATAAATTAATAGAACAAGGAAGAAGAGATATATTAAAAAAGAAAAAGAAAAAGAAAAAAGTGCTGGGGAGGGGGTGACAGAAGTCAGGAGGGAAGGGGTAAATTGGCAGTATTAGGTTTCCTTAAAGCCATAAGCCCGACGACGAGAAAGCAGGCTCGTCCTGTGGAGACAGTAAATACAAAATACAAAATACATAGTACATGCATATGCCCTTTCCCATATCACAAAGAGCACACGCACATGCCCACCCCCACGCACTCATGCCTTGGCTTAATTAATTCATGTCTCGTACAACACCATCCTATAATCATTTCTGAATTTGTAACTTTTGAATTTGAATTGGGTTTCTTAAAGGCCGTGAAAGGCATCTGCAGATTTAATAACAAGCAAAGCCACGAGAACCGCCAGAATTTTATATTACAGAGAGCAAGAAGTTCCTATTCCTTCCAAATGTGGTGCACTCTTCATGGTCTCAATTCATGCCCTTTATTCTGCCCATTCCTATAAATTAAAGCACCATGTCAAGTCAAAACATCATCACGCACTTTGTTCTCTTTATTAGCATCCAAATTACTCTATTTAAAAATATAAAAATATTTTTAAATAAATCTCATTCTTTAATAAAGTAGTTGCTTACTTTTTAACTAATCTTATCTTTTTATATTTACCCCTATTAAATACCTTATAATAAATATAAAGTCATTATTTACAAATATTCACAAGGTTTTTTCTTAAAAAAAAGTAAAATATACAATTACAAAAATATGAATTAGCGAGAGAATTGTTTACTCTTTTCTAAAATGTTAAATTAGCAAGGGGTGTTGGTTTTATAGTTTAACTTAAAATTAATGAGGATAATTAATTCCTCTATAAAATAAAAAAATTAATAAGAAAAATAATGAAAGAGTGCTAATTCCTATCTAAAATAAGATAATTAACAAGAAAAATAGATAAACATTTTTATACCTCTTTAAAAATAAATAATTAAAGATAAAAATAGAAATACATTTGTATGCCTCTTTAAAAAAGGAGATAATTATTGAAATATTAAAAGTATTAGCGAGGAATTCTATCTTTAACTAATTACTATAAAAAATTAATTTTTGATAATAAATTTTAATTATATATTCAATTATTATCATTTAAAAATTAATTAAAATGTTCATAATAAAATTATTTAATATTTTTTATTTTAAGTTTATTTTCCAAAAAATAATATTTTATTAAAAATATAATATAAAGAATTAGATAAATATAAATATTTCTATCATATTAATGATTAAAAATAAAATATAATATACATGTGTATTTTTTATAATATATCATTTGATATATCTATGTAGTTAAATAGTATATATTTAATTTTAGTTTAATTGACAAATAATGAGAGTATAAAACTTGGACAGTAGAAGGTTGAGAATT